TATATATATATAATACATATAAACCTTTGCTAAATTAGATTTCCTGCAGTATGTTAATAACTGTGGAAATGCATCATCATAGTCTGTGTAAAGGGTCTATTCATTTCGTTGCATTTATGCCGCCTCTTAAAGACATTAAAAAAGTAATTTAAAAGGTCTGAGCGAAGACATAGTTTGCAATCATTTTAGTTTATTTATTAAAATTCTCATTTTTTGGCAGTGCAATTTATTCCAAATACTTCCCCTTAAAATACTGAAAGAATTGCTGTCAGATCCATTAAGTGAACATAATAATTAAATTTGATGATTTCTGTCCCTATTTGTTGTGCATGTCGTTGTGTTGGCAATTCCTTAAAGTTGCATTAAACTCTTATTTCCAAAACCCAATGAATATAAAATTCAAGAGTTACTCCAATCGAAAGATCAGACATTTCTGTTTTGAACCCGTCACCAACCACATACACACTCATTCATACACAGAGACCCACTTTGACGCTGATTATAGAGCAGCGACGGCTTGCTCGCGCCGTAATTACTTCCAGCAAGCGCTTGCTGATTATGTGAGTTAGTCAGTTCATGGAATGAAAACAGCCACGATCTAGTCGAGGTGGATGTGAACTGAGAGCTAATACAAGAGTGACACATGATGTCGAAACAAGAAGCACTAAACCACCCCATGTTTGTGTGTTCATCTGACATCCTTGCTGTATGTCAGAGATAAGATGTTTAAAAACAATCTGACTGTAATCGAATGCCGTGCAGATCAGTTTCCTGATGCTCAGATGGAACGCGAGGGTCCTCAGCTAATGGAAGGACAGGACTCTCCTGGCTCTGGCTAGATTAATAAGGTTTGTTTATGGTCAGGTTGAGCAGAGCAGATCAGTGTGTTCCTCCATTATGCTACATCCAGGTGCTTAGGCCCAATTTTATCTTTTCATTGTGTTTCTCTGGCATAGCTTGTACAAATAATAGTGCTGCAGTTTCCATGAAAGACAACATGAGGAAAATGTGACTTGAATAGTGATCTAAATGTTAAGACAGAATGGTCATTTGTAATTCTGCTGCTGTCTGATTATCAAAAAACACAGAGGAAAAAATACTATATTACAAATGTAACAATTGTAAAACCCTTACATTAACAAATAAAAATCTATGACTTGGCCATGATCAGTTAACATGTAAAATAAAGCAGAGAACATAATATCCAACTAAATAAAACACATTGTTGTCTTTGTTGTAATAAAGTACATCAAGTTTTTTAACTGAAAATTGAGTGTTTACTGTTTTGCATTATTACACACTATTTTTCCTATTGAATACTATAAAGCTGCTTTGACACAATCTTGTTAAAAGCGCTATATGAATAAAGGTGACTTGACATAAAATTTGAAATATTATGTATATTTTATTTATTTAAAATAAGTAAAACATTGTCATCAGTATATCAATGGCATTTTGGTTATTGACCAATATCAGTGTTTTTTGGCAATATATTGGCCATGCCCTATGTTAGATGATTTATCCACTGATATTAGATACATTTTTTTTTTTTTGAAAATTCTGTCATCATTTACGCACCCTTCACTTGTTTCAAACCTGTAATGTTCAACATAAAAGAAGATATTTTGAACATTAAGCAAACAGTTGAGAATTTATTAATTTTTTAGGTGAACTATCCCTTTAAAAGGGCTAGTGATAAATAATTGCAAAGATTTAACCCTTTAAAAGAGAATTCCCTTTAAGAGTCCATGTTGCTGTCAGTTGCTGTGTGGCATGTAAGAATTTTTTTCATAAAGCAATTAAGTCCTATATAAAATTGTACATTTGTATTATTTTGTTTTATTCATTTTATTTATTTTAAATAATTTTTAAAAAATTTAATTTGATTTATTTCTTAATTGAATGAATTTTTTTGCTCACAGAACAGTGTAGTTACGGTGTATATAGTAGCAGTAGTTAACTTGATCATGTCAGCCAAACCTTGACCCCTTATTCTGTAGTTGTAGTGCAGAGGACTTTTACCTTTTACCTGTGACTGAAGGATCTAGTTTGGAAAGGTGGAGCTAGAAACCTTTGCACTAAAGAGAAGGAAGAGGACGACAAACAAATACAAGCCCACTCGCACATTCCTATTCTTCCCGGAGGACTGTTATTTTCTCTGTTGCTTTGCCCTTTTACCATGAGCGAAGGAGCTACACCTGCACAGCTGGACGGAGGTCTGTTTACTTGTGTCCTTTTGCGTTTGCGTGTGTGTTTGCTGTCCTTTGCATCATCCAGCTCTAACAAGCTCTGCGAGTCTTTTCTGAAAGTGAAAGTGTCAGATTGCAAAGCAATGCATGAAAGAGCTGATCTGTAACAGGCTTTGCTGAGTCGCAGTTTTTTCCTGTACAAACACTCCAGTACTAAAACTTCCACCGACTCTGGCGTTTTATCAACTGCTATGCAGACACATTCAGCTCAGTGTGTTTCTTTACCCAGCTAAGTAAATGTCAGGAATTATTCGCACTGACGTGCTAAATATGCTTATCAATGTTGTTGGGGCAAAAACGAAAACTCCTTTGATGTGAAAGTGAACTGCACACAGCAGTAAATATGACCCCAAAATACCAGGTTTTCTGACCTGCTTTGTGTTTAAAGTTCACTCAAACATTTTCTTTCATCATCATTGTTATTTACTCACACTGGTCAATGAGTGTCCGAGATAATGAAAAGAAAAAATGTAGTTTAAGGTTTCTAGAAATTTACAACCTTTGTATTAATGTTGGTTCAGTATAGTTTTGAAAAATCACAATTTCAGTGATCACATGAAGGTTATATACCAAATGACATTTTTTTTTTTTCAATTAAAAACTGCTAACATTTTCCTTATACCTTGATTACAAGAGTGTACATATATATATTTTTTTTTAAAAATTGAAAAAAAAAATTTATGAAAAAGAAAAAAGGATGTGGAAATGTTACACCCCATAACCTGATTTCACAAACAGAAGTTAT